ATGATCTACAGCTTTTGCTGCGGACAATGGCAAATTTCAAAACACGCTGGCGTAAAATACGGTCATCTATAATTCATCGGGCGAGTTGGAGGAAGGACTCGTTTTTATAAAGCGTAGTAATCTTTTGATCCGACGGATGGGAGGAAAATCGGATGGGATTGATGTGTTCATGTTTCATATCTGCTTACGTAGGCCAATTTCTGTACACTTTATTTCATAAGCGAGACCATATCATCAATACATGAACATATTGTAACTCATATACTGTATAGATAGTAGTTTGTAGTAAGAAATGTCATAAGATAGTTAAGTTTTGTAGTATTGTTGTATTTCTGCCACACATTGTACCATGTACGATTGTCGAGCAATAAAGTTCATTCATTCATTCATTCATTGTTCCATTTGTACCTGATTCAAAGGGCTCAAAATACGTTTTCTGCATATCTGCTCCGGTGCAGGTAACATCGAAAATTACCTGCACCAGACAAATTTTACCCGCGCCATTCAGAATTTGAGAAATATAAGGATCATAAAAAACCATACCAAAAAGTGTTTTTAGAAACTATTGCCATTATTTCTTTTATACTTCGCTGAACTCTTGTTGCTGCATTTAGCCTATGTTTACAAGAACATGAAAATAAATATCATTCATCCACTATAGTATTCCTTTGACCATGATTGTAGTTCGTAATAAACGTAGTATAGGATACAACCGAAGCATGGAAACACTCAACTCCACCAAGAATCCAGAGTACGTCGTCATTTTTGGGAGAGGAATGCAGACAATTTCGATTTCGTCTCGAGGTCGACCGCGCTATACTTCTTAATTACAGTATACTCAAACAGGAATGTCGTGTGGCGCAACGACAGAGCGTTCGGCTCAGAACCAAGAGGTCCCGGGTTCGAATCCTGCTATGTCACCGATCTTGTGTCCTTGGAAAAGACACTTAACACGACTTTCCTCACTTCAATCAGGTGGAAATGTGTACGTAGCTTCGGTTAGGGACGTCCCTCGGATAGGACGTTAAATGGAGGTCCCGTGTTTGGGGAGAGCCACACCCCACGCACGTTAAAGAACCCACCACACCGGTGTGAGATGGTCCAAATTCTAGTCCTGGAATTTGGTGCAAAGGTTGCTGAAAAAATAGTAGACATTGGCCAAGTAGACTGAAAAGTATGCCAGAGGAGTTAGTTGGCAAGAGAGTCCGTCGGAGGCTCTATATTTACTTTCTTGCATCTGTCGACAGAAGTGGAACTCAAGTTCAACTTCACGTGCCGACTTACCGGTCAAGGGTGATTGAACTTGACTGAAGTGGGGAGGGGGGCTCTTTCTCCCGCTGAGAAGGGCAAAAAATCGTCGTAGGATTTTTTCCCTGCGTAAATCGGCCCACATTTTCGCGAAACATACAACACAAGCAACCGTTTTTCGTCAGCAGCATCACATTTCTGCCTCACAGATATCAGTTTGGTATGGTATAGGGCTAATTCCACTTACAACATTGACTTTGAAAATCAATTTTTGTCGCCCTGAAATTGCATCGGATGCCTTTAAATTAATTTTGTCTCGCTTTCCATTTTGCAGTCATTTTTCTTTGAGTATCAAAGCCAGACCAAACCTCTGCTTGGAGAGCAACACACCCATGTCGACGACTAAAACACGATCCTGACACAAGTAGGTTGGAAGGCTATAATCTCCAAGCAGATCCTAGGGTGGCAAAAGACAGTATAACATTCGCCAGGGGTGGCGTATTGGACCCTCTCCGACCAATGGATACTTCCTGGCCAATTTTACACTGTCTTTTGCGGCCACCGAAACATCTGCTTGGAGATGAGTGTTGGCCTTGCCCTGCGGGAAGACGAGATAGAACAGATCTGTCTCCTTCCCACGTGACGTAACAAATATGACAAAGCCAGAGGCGAGGTACAGCCGACCTCTGAATACCGGGCGTGCCTGCACGATTAGCCACACTTCACCAAGCAAATTGTTCAAACATCTCTTGATTGTAAGATACACCCAAACTTGGCAAATAATGAGCATAATCGTTCAGATGTGGTAGTCCCGTGGTTTATGACATTGTTTAGGTTTGAGTCATGTTGTTTCTATAATGAACTGGAAGAGAATTCTTCCGTTTTTCTCTCAACAGCCAGCGACATTTTTAATTACCCTCAAATGTCATTGCATAGATAGACCTTCTAATGCTGTCAAACTTGTCAGATTAGTAATAAATCGGTGTTTAGAAAAGATTCATTTCGCAATCTGACGCAAAAGAAAGACATTTCCGTCATTTCTGATGCCTAAATAGTGCCTAAGACGATGCCGAGATGCTGTCACCTTCTAAATGAAAGACTTGTACTATGTGAATCCCAAGTTAGCCTTTCTGACTCTGAGTTAAAGTCATCTTTTTATAGCTCCCAAAGTTAGGGAAATAAACAAATCTTGTAACTCGTGACTAAACCTGTTGGCATCCTTGTTGTACATTTCTGTTTGCCTCTCCCATAATAACAACAGAAGCCCTCCCGTGAAATTGGAAAATAGAATAATACTTGCGCCCGGGGGACCCACTTATGATAAAACCGGGCATTGTGATTCTGAGCGAAAAATTGAAAGCCATTGTAGAAGCGAGGAGGGCAGGCGGATATGGGGTCACCCCGGGCAGATCGGTTATGCAGGACGGTAGCTGGGAGACAAAAGAAGCGGGGAAAACATAAAATAAGAACACAAGATATTACTGATTGACAGAGAGTGAAAGCGAGTAGATAACCCATGGTAAATAAAGACAACAAAGGGGTCAAAAGCCACGGAGTACGCTATAGTTGTTCCGTAACGTGTTTGCCGCTTTTAATACTAGTACTCTCCGCTACATGAGTGACAGCACTGGCCTGATTTTGAGACCCAGGGCTGTTTTGAGACTCTTATTCGTAGGATAACCATGGCTAAACAGCAGCTACTTTGAAGCTGAATCGTACACACAGGAAACACAGGATTAGAGTCCACGACAATAAGCTGTGCCTGCGTTGCCACACGACATTGTAGTACCTTAATTATGCGGGTTGTCGAACTAGAACACACGTTTACAAAAGGGACGACAGCTCGTAGCTCACCTTAATTCTCGAGTCCTCGCGGAATTTCTGGCACCAGCCTGAAGACTGTGAACGATTTTCACGCTTGGTCCTTGCCTCTGTAAGGTTGAGAACCTCGGCAAGCTAAAAGACGTGGCCTGTAAACACACACACTTCCGTAAACGATCGGGTCTCGAGTCGAGTCTCTCGCGGGCGCTGTCTTCACGTACTTCCGCGGCCGAAAACAAACAGGAGGGCCGGCTTGTGATGTCACAACACCCCCAGAACCAGTGTGACGTCGAGGAAGAATATATTCCAACCACACCTAGTCACTAAAGAGGGCGGGAACCTCTGTCCTGCGCTTGGGGAAAGGTCACTAGTCACTGTTGTCTGCAGCCCTGTGCTGTACTATTGTGTACTGCACGAAACAGGACGGAGAAATTGCTCCGGGGCATTGGGCGGAACCATTTCGGCCTCGGGAGGGTAGAATAGGACAGGCGCCAGGTGTGCAAAACAGCGCAGGTACCTGTCAATCAAACAATCATTAAATCTGTCAATCAATCAATCAAAATCTTTTATTTCGGCTGAAATGCCCTGTCGGCTTTGGCCAGAGGTTTGTGTGTGTTTGTGTGTGTGTGTTTGTGTGTGTGTTTGTGTTTGTGGGGGCACACAGGAAATAAATAAAGTAATACACAAATAGATAAACAAATATCTAACATAATGTATATAATGTTAACACCTTAACTTGCCCAATACATGTCATACAATGCATGCCTCTACATCTCTACATTTGTTGCTATATTTCTTCTTTTTTTTGTAAAACAATGAAAGAAATACTATTAGTGGGGCCACCGTAAAAACACAACTTTGCGCTATCCAAATATATATATATCAGAGTACAAAAGTAGATCTACTAGTATTGTGGCCACAACCAACCTACGATACTATATATCGTCTATGATATTTTTTTCTAGGCTGGGTCACTCTGTTTTATTTAGCACAGAGCACGATCTATTATTATAAATCGACATGCATGTTAGGTCACGAGTATTACAAGTGTCACGTAACGCACACACAATGGGGTACAAGTGGCCAGCATTGTTCTCCCGCCGAGAGGAAAACACAGAACTATGCCAGGAATGTCATTGGTCGGTGGCGGGGTGATTGACAGGTGGTGAACACGTAAAGGTAGTCAGTTATTCAGTTATTCACCAGTTTCCCATTCCCATGACGCATTGCGCCTGGGGGTAAAAAAATTCCCAGGTTGCATAGCGCGAGTCATTGTCAGATTCGACCCATAGTAAGTCGATTAATGTTGAGCATTAAGTTCCCCCACACCTCGAAACACACCTCAAAACAGGATACCTTCCTGCGCAATGCAACCTGGGAGAGTTTACCCCCCAAAGGCGCAATGCATTATGGGAAACTGGTAAATACGCCTAATGACAATTGGATCGGGGATTCAACCAATGATTTACGACAAGGTAAACATGGCTTGATTATTAGATACGGCGAGCTAACACGAGTTGTAGCGTCGATTGGGGCTACAGCTGTGAATGGAGCAGTCATTGCCGTGTAAGAACGCCTTCTACCGGGGGCGTGCAGAGTTGCAGGGACACAGGACGGCAGTTCGTCCGAAGAGAGCAAGCATCACAACCACTGCACAATAGGTAACATACGCACACTATATCACACACACACACACAAACACACAAACACACGCACACGCGTACAGACAAACGCACGCACACACACACACACGTACAGACAAACGCACACACACACATACTCACGCTGTGCCTTCCGCCATGGTACTGTATTACTGCTAGGGAAATAATAACTGCAGGGGCCGCAGAGCGTTTTGAAGACATTAACAAGGCAAGGCTTTCCCTGGCTTTAACAAAACCGGGTAGAACAAAAAAAATAGGATGAGCGTAAACTCATCAGTCCTCCGGATAGTCCTGGTCCTGCATGACCAACGCGACGGCAAGCTTCCGTTTTCCGGTGAAGCCGAGTCTGGCATGCTGACAGTAGATGTTGTTCAAAACAAGCAGGTCGCCCTTCTGTAACTGAAACCCCGCGGCAACCTGTGGATAAACAGATTACATATTGGTCAATGTTACCCTTTTTACATGATAAGATTTTGGCCCCCTGGTGGCTTGTTATGGTACTATAATTCCTTAGTCATTTGGCGAAGGTATGGGATCGTGGAACTCAATTTGTTTGTTCGTCCTTTTACTGCCATTTGCAATTAGCGCACGAACTTGCAATAAACTCATTCAATTATTGTTATTGTTAGACTATATGTATTCTGTCAAAGTCCTAAATATTTGTGACAATCTTGAAAGAAATACAGTTCTATACCTGCCAGATTGTATCTCTGATATGCTGCAGTACTTCCTGCTCTATGTCCGAGCCGTCTCCGTAGTACGTGTGTTGTGGGTACATGTGATCGGGGAGGTCCTTGTCTCTCCAGTATGGGGTGTTCTTCATGTAGCTACTGTTTTCAGCATGTGGCACGGTAAACCACACCCAGTCACCTGGAAGTAAAGGCATTCAATATATATGCAATTTCAGGGTGACAAGACTGTATTTCAACGTCAATTTTCTGGTCATTCTTTAATGTAGTAACTTAACCAATCCTATCCCATAGCATTCCGATACCAGTTACAGTGAGGCAAAAATACGATGGGGAGGATATTTTTTTTTATTCCAACATGTAATCACCAGACGTGGTGACGACACACTCAAGTTTTTTCAACTTATATTAATGCCACCAAAAACACATGACAGGACAATACTCATTTACACCTGAACTAAGTGAGGAAAGCCGTGTAAAGTGCCTTTCCCAAGGGCACAAGATCGGTGCCATGTCAGGAGTCGAACCCGGGACTCTAAGTCGCGCACTCTGCCGCTGCGCCACACGACCCCACAATTTTTTGAGGATATTTTGCGTACCTCTGTACTTATGCATCACTGGTAGAACGGTCCAGTTCCTCATGGCACCGTCATCTTCCCACTTCCAGTGTATGTTGTGAGCTTTCAGGTGTTTTTCCACTTCAGACTTTACCTCAGACTGGAAGGTCTGAAAAGGGGATCATGCATGAGAAAATTTCAAGACTGAGAGGAAGATCATGAGAAAACTTTAAGACTTAAAGGAGGTACAGTTTGCAACCTCTGAAAACTGTACTCTGAGCAAGAAGGTTCAAACCTGGCATGTTATCTGTCTATTTGGCCATTTTCCATTCTTTCCAGCCACCTCTGAAGCCAGATCAGAAGCTACGTACCGCCTGCCAGCTGTTGTAAATGCCCGGCCCGCGGGATGGGAGGTAGTGCGTGTACATGACTCCCAGTCTCCGGAACTTCTCCACCACATCTTTGTCCAGACGGGGCAGAATGTCCCGGGCGTCCGCCAGCACCGTCTCACCCCCTGTCCCGGGGGGTGGGGGGTCGATACAGAAGAACATAATCTGGGGAGGTCAAGAAAGGCGATGGGCTTACATTGTAGTGTCGTTGTTTTTGCTGTTTATCATTATTTGTCTTGCAAGGCTGTGCTGCCTTTAGAAGTCTTGACTCGTCAGCAAATGGAAAGTTCTATAACATTGGACGAAAAGGGCATCAAGTTAGTCCCTGGCAGCTAAATCAGATGTGTCCTAAAATGTTTTAACCAGTGATAATGTGTGATGCTTCAAATTTATACTTTATTTCAGCGCGGTTGACTTAAAAGCGAACTAAAGGTTTTACCTCGATAACGACGCTTGACATTCAAGGGTCAATGCACGTGTCAAGTCAACAGCAGTCTTGTGGTTGTTTACCGTACAAGGGCAAAAGTCTGTTTGGGCAATTTCAAAAGTTTTCAACAGTTAATCCTAGTTGATAAACGTGTTTAACAATTCATTATGACTTCAATAATCACTGGCCCGTGACAACCATACATGCAGGCTTCATACACCTATGTAGTCAGGAACAATATGTCTGTTTATGTCGTGTCACTCACGCTATACCTTTTCAGGGTAATGGTTAGTATAGGCAAGTTCGTGGTGCGGTTCGATGCACAGTTGTGGTGGCTCGTCACTCGCTGTGTCCACCGCTTCGGCCAGCCTGTGTCTGATGCCACCCCCACCTTTGTAGCTGGTCAGCTTCAGGCCCAAGTTGACCACGACCCTGGAAAAATCTTCCGCGGTCGCCAGAGGCAGGCCTCGGAAGAGTAAGGCGCCTTCCTTGCGCCTTTCCAAGACGTCGCGGATCACCTGTCGCACGGAAGGAGCGCAGTGCTCGGGGGAACAGTCGACCTTCCCCGCGGGAGTGTAGACGTGGACGTACCCGTCTTTAGGCGGCGCCAGGAACTCGGGATAGTTGGGACTGTCAGACCCTGGCAGCCATTTTCTCCCCCTGATTCGTGCAGGGTGGACCTGCAGTTGGGAAGCCCAGTCGACCTGAGTTTCTACCAGTCGGACAGTCGCTCCACTCACAGCAGACGCCTGGCAGGAACGCACCTTGTGAGCCAGACAGGCAAGGCTTGGGCCACGCAGGAATAACCTGCTGGTGGATCTGAACATAGACATGTTGGACGTAAACAAGTCCAAGTTGAATGCCTTAACGGTCATTTACCTCGTTTGAGATAATGCGGTCACAAATGAAAAGCATTGTCCCATATATACTAGCATTGTTACATACATTAACTTTGACATAAATGTATTGCCCACAACGCATCACACCGTGCTTGAGCAGTCTTAATTGTGAACCTCTTATTGCATAAGATCACACACACAAGTCTTTACATATTATGAGCTAAAGAAGTCATCCGTAACTGATGACCTATGATCCTTGCAACCCGGAAGTGTCCCCAGAGTACGCCACTCTCTGTGCACCTTATACTACAGACCTGAAACCATTAAACGCAAATGACTATGTTTAGATCCACTAGCAGGTTGTTCCTGCGTGGCCCAAGCCTTGCCTGTCTGGCTCACAAGGTGCGTTCCTGCCAGGCGTCTGCTGTGAGTGGAGCGACTGTCCAACTGGTGGAAACTCAGGTCGACTGGGCTTCCCAACTGCAGGCCCACCCTGCACGAATCAGGGGGAGAAAATGGCTGCCAGGGTCTGACAGTCCCAACTATCCCGAGTTTCTGGCGCCGCCTAAAGACGGGTACGTCCACGTCTACACTCCCGCGAGGAAGGTCGACTGTTCCCCCGAGCACTGCGCTCCTTCCGTGCGACAGGTGATCCGCGACGTCTTGGAAAGGCGCAAGGAAGGCGCCTTACTCTTCCGAGGCCTGCCGCTAGCGACTGCGGAAGATTTTTCCAGGGTCGTGGTCAACTTGGGCCTGAAGCTGACCAGCTACAAAGGTGGAGGTGGCATCAGGCACAGGCTGGCCGAAGCGGTGGACACAGCGAGTGACGAGCCACCAGAACTGTGCATCGAACCCCACCACGACTTAGCGTACACTAGCCATTACCCTGAAAAGGTATAGCGTGAGTGACACAACAACAACGAGACATAATTGTATTGGTCCTTACTTTATAGGTGCATGAAGCCTGTATTTGTTGGGTGCAATTGAAGTCACAATGAATTGTCCACATCTTAATCAAATTAGTTTTCACACAGGCAATATTTTGTATATTCGTGATTTTCCGACATCAGGACAAACTGTTGAAAACTTTTCAAAGTGCCCGAACAGACTCTTGTACTAATGTAAACAATCACAAGGCTGCTATGCAATGACACGTATGTTGACCCTTGAATGTCAAGCGTCGGGCTCGAGGTAAAAACTTTCGTTCGCTTAGTCAACAATCGGAGCCTGACACCCTGATGACACAAAGGACAAATATGATTCTGTAAACAGGGACTAGCTTGTAAGATGCTTTTCATTCACCTCCACAGATCATGTTCTTCTGTATCGACCCCCCACCCCCCGGGACAGGGGGTGAGACGGTGCTGGCGGACGCCCGGGACATTCTGCCCCGTCTGGACAAAGATGTGGTGGAGAAGTTCCGGAGACTGGGAGTCATGTACACGCACTACCTCCCATCCCGCGGTCCGGGCATTTACAACAGCTGGCAGGCGGTACGTAGCTTCCAACAGGCTTCAGAGGGGACTGGAAAGAATAGAAAATTGCCAAACAGGCAGATAACAGGCCAGTAGAGTTGGCCGCTAGAAGGGTACACTTTTCTAAAGGCGACAAATGTACTCCTTTACTTTAGTCTTGAAGTCTTCTCGTGATCTTCCTCTCAGTCTGGAAATGTTCTCATGATCTTCTTTTCAGACCTTCCAGTCGGAGGTTAAGTCTGAGGTGGAAGAACACCTGAAAGCTCACAACATTCACTGGAAGTGGCATGAGGACGGTGCCATGACAAACTGGACCGTTCTGCCAGCTTTGCACAAGTACAGAGGTACGAAAAATACAGTATAAAGCAACCTATACAACCTATGCTAGCTATGTTCAGTAGGATGGGGACGGTAAAACACCCCTAAACCGGCCTGTGGGGAATGGTGACCAGACTATGCTAGCCTGGTAGCCAGACGTCTAGACCATCGTAGGCTATACGGTATCTCTGTGGTGCTGGGAGCATTGCTTGTCCGCCCAGCTCCATTTAGCGCATGCCTGGAAGGGGTTTAATCGTAGATGAACTACTTGAAACAAAAGTAATACCTACCCCGGTGCGTTGATGGAATGTCGTTAAAGGAGCTAGAAATGCGTCTTCGTCTTTCATGTCCCCGATGCTAATTTTGTTAAACGTCAGGTAATTGGGTGTGGTTTACCGTGCCACACGCCAACAACAGCAGCTACATGAAGAACACCCCATACTGGAGAGACAAGGATCTCCCCGATCACATGTACCCACAAAACACGTACTACGGAGACGGCTCGGACATAGAGCAGGACGTACTGCAGCATATCAGAGACACTATCTGGCAGGTATGTGGAATATCTCACAGTTACTAAGAAATTGGAGGTTTCAGACTTCCAGGAAGTATTTTGGGGTTTCGTGATCTTCAAGTTCATCCCATTTCTTGTGTTTGACCTTTTGACCTGGACTTATTCTGCCTGTCAATCTTCCACGCACCACCCATTTGCTGTCAACCTACTCACCTCGTTTGCCTTTTGATCTTGGGTCATTCTACGTGTCAATCTTCCCCATCCACATGCTGTCAACCTTCTCTATCAAAATCTAAAACAAGGCTAAAATTGTTCAATATGTAACCTGTTTATCCTTAGGTTGCCGCGGGGTTTCAGTTACATAAGGGCGATCTGCTTGTTTTGAACAACATCTACTGTCAGCATGCCAGACTCGGCTTCACCGGAAAACGGAAGCTTGCCGTCGCGTTGGCCATGCAGGACCAGGACTATCCGGAGAACTGATGAGTTTAGATCTACACGCATCCCCATTTTTGGCGACGCCTTAGAGGCGGAGCCGTTGGTACAATACTGCGATTGAGTTGAAAATATTCTAAGAATTCCACCAATGCATTCCCAAGGGAATTCCTTTTTGGCGATACCTGGTGGGACCTACTCCAAGCAGAGGTTGGTGGGGAAGAGTCGTTATTTCTTCTTCTGTGCAAAGTACAACCAGGGGAGGCTTACTTCGTTAATGCCTTGAACGCTATGTGGTCACCTGGTCTCTCTCTCTCTCTCTCTCTCTCTCTCTCTCTCTCTCTCTCTCTCTCTCTCTCTCTCTCTCTCTCTCTCTCTCTCTCTCTCTCTCTCTCTCTCTCTCTCTCTCTCTCTCTCTCTCTCTCTCCCTCTCTATGTGTGTAAACAACTGAAATAAATATGACCCGAAACATTTTTTTCCAAATTTTGCCAGTTTATTTTAATCTCTCATTATGCTAAGCTGAAGCGAGGTTAGCCTTGGCATTCAAACCAAGGATTTAGCATGTGAGAATAGGTCAGTATGTTCTGGTCATAGTTACTTGTACATGTACTAACTGCTAGTGCTTGCTTCGTTAGTACAGTGCAGTTGAAACGAGGAGGATCTTTGTCCAGACCCTGATGGCATACGTCTATTGTCAAACACTGGAATCTGTAACTATCCAGTGACCCGAAGTTACTATAACCTATTCCCACAGAGGTTATTACATGTGCACAATATGTGCTAGAATAAGGAAGAAGAATTGTTTAAAATCTCTCTTTATGTATGACCGTTGTATCATGCGATCTGTCCTGCAGATGCCCAAGTTGAGGTAATATGCAAACTCCAGTTTACCAGATCAACCAACATGCGTATGGTTGAAATAAGACTGACATTGGTGAAGATTACATGTAATGTACATGTAATATTACAATAGTGATGTTTTATAGTCTGATACAGAAGATGAGATCGCAGACAGAAGCACACCAGAATTATATAGTTTGATCAACAGAAAAGGTCACACATATTGTCCGCGGTGGGTCGGTCTGTGGTTTGCTGCTCACACGTTGTTCATGACCTGGTCCTTGTACGCAGCTCCGACACGGACTCCTGGCAGGGCGTAGTCGACTGTTGGGTCAACTTGGGTTCTGGAGTGAAAACACATAACAACACTTACAACAAACAAACATTGGAGTCGAGTGCTCGACTCGGAACCAAGAGGTCCCGGGTTCGAGTCCTGACATGCGCCACCAATACGGGGGCAATACAGTACTCATTTTCACCTGGGCGAAGTGAGGAATGTCGTGTAAAGTGTTTTTCCCATGGTGGTGATATTCGCGCAGATGTGGAAGGTATTCGCGCAGATGTGGAAGGTATTCGCGCAGACGAGGAAGGTATTCGCTCAGACAAGGACGGTTTTTTCTGTGCAGACGTGGAAGGTATTTGCACAGGCGTGGAAGGTATTCGCGCAGACGTGGAAGGTATTCGCACAGGCGTGGAAGGTATTCGCACAGACGTGGAAGGTATTCGTGCAGACATGCAGGCGTGTACTTACGGGCCTCCGTAGTGGTCATAATCTAGAGCTCCCTTGTACGGGTCCTCAGTCAGGCACCAGTCCCACAGGTCCTGAGCGGTCTGTGTGTGCGCTGCGCCCAGGGGGAAGCCGTTGCTGGTCGCGATCTCCCGGTATGTTGCCACGGAGCTGGATAGGAATCAGAATAGGTTGACCCAAAAGCTTCATCAGAGGGAAAAGTAATGTATGATTTCCATTCACGGTATAGAAAGGAACGCACTTACACACACAACACACACACACTACATACGGACGTACACACATACACATACACACACACACAACAGATACACACACGAACAAGACACACACACAAGCACACACACACAAGCACACACACACACACACACATACATACAGACGTACACACATACACAGATACACACACACACACACACATACAGACAGACGTACACACATACACAGATACACACACACACACACACACATACATACATACAGACGTACACACATACACAGACACACACACACACAAACACACACATGCGTACACGAACATACGCACACCCATACAAACACTGATGCACGCATATGCACACACACATATACATATGCACACATAAGAAAAGTCTTACTCTTTAGGAATCCGGGTGCGAGCTGGATCGGAAAAGTTGGTGTAGTAAAGTCCGAAGCGCTCGTGTAACCCAGAACCCCATTCCACGTTGTCCATCAGCGTCCACGCGAAGAATCCTTGGTGGTCCACCCCGTCCAGTTCAATCGCTGTTCGGAGAAGGGAAGCTATCAGTGACATGTTTTGGCT